TCTCCCCTCCCCAGGCTTTTATTCACATTGGTTAGACACCCCCCCACACAGAACACTGTTTCAATTACAAACCTTACCCTCTTCTCAGTCTTTATCCTTGCTTTTCCTCTAGAATGTATGAACATTGCTTAAGGGAAGCAAATTTTCTCTCTGCCATTCAGCATAAGAGCCTGAAGTTCAAATTTTAACTACTACTTTTGACTTGCTTATGAAGTCTATCATGTTCTCGTATCATTCAGGTCCTCAAGGATAGTCACAGTGACTGTCTTTGTGATTGAACTCTGATGTTCTGTAACATGTGGGGTTGTTCAGCCTGGAGAAAAGGCGGCTCTGAGGACACCTTATAGCAGCCTTCCCGTACTTAAAGGGGGCCTAAGGGAGAGATGGGGAGGGACTCTTCATCAGGGAGTGTAGCTACAGGGCAAGTGGTAATGGCTTTAGGCTGAAAGAGGGTAGATTTAGATTAGATATTAGGAGGAAGTTTTTTACTGTGAGGGCAGTGAGGCATTGGAACAGGTTGCCCAGAGAAGCTGTGGATGCCCCATCCCTGGAGGTGTTCAAGGCCAGGCTGGATGAGGCTTTGAGCAACCTGGGCTAGTGAAGAGTGTCCCTTGCCCATGGCAGGGGGCTTGGAACTCAGTGATCTTTAAGGTCCTTTCCAACCCAAACCATTCTGTGATTCTATCATCTAGCATAAAACATAATAATAGAAACTACAAATCCTCTCAGGTCTAGGCAGATCATATATATTTGATAGGGCTAGTATGGAAAACTAAATGTTGAAACAAAAACAAGGCATCTTAATAAGGAAAAAATAGTTCCACTATCACTATGAGGTGGAGAAATAAATACCAATTGCAAACTTTTCAACGTGAGGTTGCTTCTGTAAAACTCCACAAAACCAGGGACATATAACAGAAAGCTACAATTTGGCAACGTGACTTTCTTTGCTTGACAGATGCAAGATACTGTGCGCTTCTGATATCCATCCTTCTGGCAAAAATACATCACTTGCCAAAGTCATGTTGGATCACATAACTATCCTCATGAGATCAACACTCGGCAATAACTCTACTTTGTAGTCACTTACTTAGGTAATTTTGACTAGAAAGATACTTCCATTCTATTCAGAAGTTCCACAGATGATCTTGTTGAAACATATTTGTTCTATAAATCAACACAACATATTCACCACTTTCATCAGAAGGTTAGAGTTTTAGATTACTTTAAAAAAGGAGGTTTCTGATGGTTTCAACAGGAATTACCTTCAAAAGTGTTTAAGATTTTTCAGTTATCAAGAATAAAATATAAGCACATCAATGGTTTAATGAAAATAATGATGGTAGAGTGATAAACAATGAAGACAAGTCACATCTATAGGTGAATCCAACCCTTCTGTAAACCAGTCCCATTCAGACATCATTATACTTACAGGATGGAAGGCTACATCCTTGAAGAGCAGCAGTTCTGAAAAGGACTTAGGAATCATGATGGATAATCATCTAAATTTACAATCTTTTAATGCAAATAACTGAGACTGAAAGATTTAAAAATGCAGTCCTTGGAGGTATAAACAAACAAGCAAAGATATAAACTGAAAGGTTCAAGAATGTACCTGCACATACTACACGCACACAGCAATACTGAAATTACTACCAGATGCTGTATGCAGTTCTTATGTCCACACTTTAGAATGGATTTTAAAACACCTGAAGTTTCAGAAGAGCTGTAAAAGCTTGAGAGATTTAAGGAACTCCATCTATTATAGAGGTTATTAAAGTTAACATATTTTTATGTGAATAAAGTGAAATAGTTTAAAACTAGAGTAGTTATTCGTTATTCTAATAGGCAGCTAGCTATCTGATGGCCAGCAGCTGAAACTAAACAGTCCTAAAACTGAAGAAGGACTGAGAGTATGGAAAATAAACTAGCTGAGTCACTCGAGAGACACGGAAAAATCCTCACACTTGAAGAATCTATACGAAAATTAGCTATCTTTTTCAAAAGTATATTCTACTGCACCCAAAAGATATGGACTTCATGATGCAGAAATAACTAGGTTGAATTCTAGGGATAATGACATGCCAGTCAGATTATTTCATTACCATTGTCACTCTGGCCTTAAAATCAGCTAGTCTGTAATAGGTAGAAAGCTGCAGTGCATATAAGAACATTCAAACTAACAGATGATAATATAAAGAACTCAAACTACAAGTTCAGTCCATCAGAATCAAGCAGAGCTGTGTTCATACATCAATGATTTGTATACCTTGCTGTTTCAATTAAAAACTCAACGTTATCTGTTATGCCTCCAACATTTACTTTCATATTTTTAAGTCTGTTTCAATGTATCTGATATTTACACATTATAGTATAATTATACCTACCATACCATGGCTTGGAGTAGGTTAATTGCATAGGAAGATTTACTATGTTTACATTTTTTCTTAAATTACTCTTTTTTTTAAAAAGCACAGTAAAGAGTCTGAGGACAAATTATTCAACTGTTTATCATACATAAGACTGCATGACTATAATACAAAGGGCTTGTCTTTTCATTTAACGTTACAATATACACAGCAAGTCCGGACTAGATCTTACAATCTGAACACAGGTATTTAACCTTTTCCATGCTGTTTATGTTTACAATGCACAGAAGTCCTGTAACCAAACTGTGTAGTAAAGCACACAAAACTGGACTGTAACATAACACAGTATGCAGAAGCACTGGATTTTATGATTTCTTCTTTATGTAGATATTTTTAACTGCTTTATTTTTTGGCGCTTGCTAAGGTGTGGCAACCCGCGCACACAAGAATTACCCAGATTTCACATTACCCTTATATTCCTAGACAGCAGTAAGTACTGAATTCCTTTTTATATTGCTAAACTCAGCATCCTGTTTCTAAGGTGACAGCCTTCCAAATCCTGCAAACTTCTCTGAATTAACGGAGTTAAAAAAAAAAAAAAGAAAAAGAAAAAAAAACCCCACTTTCATCCACAGGGTTGACGTGTCAATAAAAAAGAAATATGGATCGCTTCATTAAAAAAAATCCAGGATTTACAAAAAAAATGGTAATCCCAAGTATTCATTCCCATTTACACGGTAGTCAGCTGCTGCATTGCCAAAGTATAAAAAATTCCACCTTTTAGTCTGAAAAAATGACTTAGCCACATGGAATTGACCAGTGTGAATTCTGAATTTCCTGCTAAATTAACTTTTAAAGGGGCTTGCTGGCAGAGGTAGATCACTGCTTCTGTAATATATAATGGGCAAACAATGTTAATCTGGGATGGGCAACCAATTAATTACCCTTATTCTTTCCAACATTTTTCATGGAGCTTTTACTTTTCGTAGAAATAAATCTCTGAATGGGCCTGTAAATTTTGCGACTGCCAAGCTGACTGTGTTATATTAAGGCAGCATTACCCCAAAATTAGGCACCTGTTAAATACAGCCTGCTAACCTCAGGTCTCATGTGAGTGTTTTGCTTTACTCAGACTACTATTTTGGACCTGTTCATGCAATCAAGGTCTTGCCTTCAAGTTTACAATTACGTTAATAAGGAATACAAGAATCAACTGCTGGTTTCATAGCTTCTGGATCTAGTGTCCCTTTTACCTTCAGAAGCCTGAACACATTTATAATGTAACAGAGGTTATAGTCTCAAAGTAGATGTCAATCTATTATGTTCAGTACACAGATTGCTGTAAATGTATTGGCTATGAATTCAACAACAGTTCCAGTTTTGTTTAAGCAATAGTACAGCCATAGTTTTCAACTGACATTTAAAAATGGTCTAGTTACACCTTGTGTCAAAGTGCAGAACTGCTACATTATTGGTTACAGACATCTATGTGCTATAAAAACAGCTTTGGTACAATAAATTATCAAAAAAGAAAATAAATTTTTGTAAAATTCACAGCATAATTGTGAGGCAAAAAAGCAGTCACATAAAATTCTGCATTTTTAAAAATGTTCAGGATGAACAGAAGACGTCTTTGTGCAGAAGTAATGGTGGAGAAACCACGTGCCGAGAAAAAGCAAAAGAAAAAAGTAAAAAGCAGGAAGGGACACAGTTGTAGCTATTTCCATCAAATGCAAACCACTACTCCTGTGACCTTCAACCAATAAGGAAGTCAACTTTATGACACACGCAAAGTGACCTTGCAATACCTTACAATAAGTGGGTCACAAAAGTCTATTTCAAAAGAAAGGCCTCTTGAATTACCCATTCTCTGTGTTTTCAGCATTAAGGACTGTCTGCAAAAGCATGTCCAAAGTGATTGCATCTGAAATGGTAGGCTCTTCTAACTTAAGAGTCCAAATCCATAAGGCCAAAGGTTATCCCAAAGACCACCACTTAGACCTCCCCAGGACTGGCCAGGATCGACCCGTTGATTGCTTCTCAGTGCACCTCAGTTATGAAACCAGTCATATTTCGATACTAACTGACTGTGGTCTCCAAAATATGAGACCCACAGAATCCCATTACAATTGCTGCTTTGATCCTCAGTAGATTCAGAAAAGGAGAGTTCTGATCACCGCCACTTAGCATGCTTAATGTGCCTTACAAACTCCATTACAACCGTCCCTTTTTACAGCTGAAGAATATATATTTGTGTAATCTGAAGGTCCCTCTTTCTTACAGTACTGCTTTTCTGTGCCCATGTTTGTTTGGGGAACTAAAAAAAATATATATATTACTCACTCCCCTCCCACCCAAAAATTTCAAAGGGCCTTTTTATAAATCATGTGCAATGCCTTTAAAAAGAAACTAGATTGCAACTACAACTAACATTTGAACAACAACCCCTGTTGAATGAGACCAAAAAAAACCCCTGCCCCAAAAAAACAAACTATGACTAGGTTGTGGCAAGTTAAAATGGGGGAAGCAGAAGGTGAACACCACTAAGCTATCTGTTAAGGTGGGTCCGGACATGGCTCTTAAAAAAAAAGAAAAAACAAAAACAAAAAACAAAAAACTAAAAAAAACAACAAAAAAACTTCATTGTCCCTTTGCAATCTTTTCAAGTTTAAAAAAATAGTCAGCTTTGACCTCCTGTAGCGGTTGAGTGAGTTTATCTCCTTCTGAGTCAAGCAGCTTTGCACTTTGTTTTTGGAAAAACACCACTTCTATAAAAACACACAAGAAACAAACTTAGTTTCAGTTTAGTCACGAGCTAGCCACAGGACTTTGCTGAACACAAACTCCTGTCATGGGAGACTCTTCTCTATCAATTCCTTGCCTCATTGCAAGGTGTCCTTCAGTCATGTAATGAGCAGGACCTGTATTAGCAGAAAACTGGTACGTTGGATGTCCAGCTATGCCAGTTTCTTGGCGCGGATTAGAGTAGACTGTTAAATTCATGTCCATAGCTCCATTTTGTCCAAAGTCCAAGGTATTAGCAGCCACTGGGCGGTTCTGATAGGCCTGATTGCCTTGGTTACCAGTAGAGGAGGAAGATGTAGAGGAAGAAGTAGTTGAGGAAGACAGGGATGTCATGGAGTGGTGACTGTGGCCCACCTCCATAGAATCCTGGGTGGAGGAGCTGTTTGTTGGAGAATTGTAGACTCTTGGCCTGGTCCGGCTACCCAAGGCTTGCTGTCCATGATGGTGGTGGTGGTGGTGGTGATGGTGGTGGTGGTGAGAGCTATTTCCGTGATGATGATGTAATGCATTCTGTTGTTGAGGGGTAACATGGAAGGTGGTTTCTTGAACTGGATGGTTTTCAACAGTGACTTGTGTAGGAGCTTCAGTGGCTGTCCAACCAATTGGAGGAGGAAACTGTTGTCGAACCTACATTAGTAAGCAAAATAAAAATTAAAATGCTTACTCAAATCTATTCATTTGCAATATATGAGACATTAAGTTATTAATGTTTATGCTAACTTTTTAAAAAGGTAACCAAACCTTGCAGTTACAAAATTATTCTACAAACGTAAGCATGTAGTTAAGAAGGATTTCTAACACTTTTCTAAATATACCTTAAGGAAAATGAGTTCACATTCTGCATGTTTTTTTTCAAGCAAGCAGTTTAAGTAAGTCCAAGATGTGACCTTACTGTCAAAACTATATAAACAGCTTTACATAACAGTAGTAATAAACAACATAATATTTGTACAACACCTAGAATAAGGCCCTGATCTCCAACTCAGGCCTCTAGATACAATTAAGCATACTAAGCTAAATTAATATGTTGTAGTTCGTATCTTGAATGGGGACAACAGCATTAGGGGAGTACCACCAACATCTCTGGAAGAACATGGCTGATTAAAGACTACTAAAATTGCAGGTACTAGCTACACATCAATTTGTTGCATAAACTATTCACTTGGAAGAATTTATAATATATATTTTGATCTGTTCTGTACTAAAATAAAAATATTACTGAAATATTTGTAGTTAATACATGAATTGTTCCTTCTTTACAAGAATCAGTATTGAATAAACACTAATTCAGCCAATGATAATGTTGGTGAAACACCTGAACACCATAAAATGGAAGTAAGAACTCCAGCAGGAGTCCACTGAAGTACAAGCTGGTTCTTCACTGGGTGGGAAGATGCATAGTTCTGTGTACCCTTACACCCTCTGTAAGGTGAAGCATTGACAGCTCCACTCAACTTATTGCTAGTGGTACAATACCTTCACCTCTGCAGAATCAATGGAAATTTTTACAGCTATCTGCAGTACTTTTGCTTAAATGACTGACAAAACGTACAAAGGACTATACAAGAGCTGAGGGTAAAAAAATCAACCAAATCTGGTGGCTAGTTCTCATGTCTAAACCACTTCAATACTGAAAGTATTAATTAGTTTTAGGGATTTAATATTCTCAGAAAATTCATATAAATCAAACAGACGTAAGCTCTACTTAAGCATACCTGTGGGCTGTGTGTTTCACAGTCCATAGCTTGAACAGCAGCAGTGAAGTGTCCACCACTATGTCGATGCTGGTGTGTGGGGTCTGACCGTGCCCTTCCACTGTTGCTTGTTCCAGAAGATCCACCTATAAAATCATAACATGCACAATAACTAGCGACACTAAATTTAAAGTAGCCTGAAAAACAATGACACCATGCAGATATTTAAACTGCTTCAATGTAAAAACATAAGACCTATGATAATAACTCATGTTTTTGCTCATCTATTTTTCATTTTCTGTTGGAGCAGTTACCTGTTCCAGCTGATTAAAATAACTGCTTTGGTGAGCACGACTGACATATTTGGTTTTAACCAAAAAAAAGAAAAAAAAAAAAAAAGAAAAAAAAAAAAAAGAAAAAATAAAAAGAGAACATTTATCTGGGAAAGACTCTTTTGATGTGATTAGGAAATACAATTTTATTATCTGTTAATGAGAAACACTTACCTGAGCTTGAAGATGTACTAGAGGTGGTTCCTGAAGACTGTGACTGCTCCATGGCAGGACTCGTAGACACACTGTTACTTGTGTTGGTACCTTCGTCTGCTGTTTTCTTAAAGAAACTATGCTGTAGGGCATAATAAGGTTGAATTCGTGTCTTAGGGTCATAATCAAGCATCCTTAAGATGAGGTCTTTGAACTTCAAGTAGTCAGCTACAGTATGACCTGATTCCCCAGCACGACGTCCACCTGGTCCTCAACTCCTAGTATATTGTGAAGTTTACGAGTTCCAGGTGGTTTGTATTCCTGTTGGAAAATTAGAAATTGCCTGAAATCAAGTTATATATCAAGCCTTGGATGGGCATAATTTAAACATGCCATAAAAGGAAGTAAGTCAAGTAAAAGTAAGAAACTATTCAATACTATGGAAAGCACTATTTAATCAATCTGTCTTACAACATGGAACAATAATAACAATAAAGCTACATTTTCAGTAAGGCAAGATGTAAAACAAAGTAACATTTCTCCATTTTTTAATAT